TGCTGAGGCTGACAAACCCAAGGTTGACAAGTAAAAAGGCACAGTCTCGATGTTACCAAACCACACGGCAGGCCATTAATTTAAGTCCATCGTAAGTCCCAAGGTCGGCAGAGCATAGCAGGCTGCTGAGCAACGACATGGCTACATGCAGGGTCCAAGTGTGCCATAGGCTAGAGACCATTCCCAAAGCTGCTGCTTATATTCAGGAAGCAGACCACATCCCAAAGGCAGCTACTCAGCTGCTTGTGGTAGATCCCACCATGGAGTTGATTGCCATTCTCATCACGGGGAGTAACTACCACCAGCTGCCCAGCCACTCAACCAGGCCCAGCCAAGTTGACACACAGATAAAACCACCACAAGAGCTTTAGCTTTTTAGCATTCTCTTTATATATATTTTGTGTTGTTTTACTTGAGAAAAAAAAAAATCAAATAAAGGACCCCAAAATATAAAAAATATATAATAAGGACTTCGTTTAAAATAAGAAAGTCAGGCACAATGAAAATAAATGAAGTCAGGGGCACAGAAGAAAGAAAAAAGGAGAAAAGACGAATAATAAGGGACACAAAGAGTAAAGATGACATTTAAAATGTAGGACTTTATATAAAGCTATCACGTCCCCTCCCCTCATTTATTTATTGATTTATTTTCCCCTCATTTTTTTAAAAATAGGGAAAACAGCTAGGGAGGGTTGGGTCCGGTGCTCATAGGTGGGGAATTGGGAGGTGGGAGGGCAGGGAGGAACATCGACTCCCTTAAAGCCCAACGCCTGTTTTAGGACTAGGAGTTGGTCCCTGCTGCTCCCAGTTTAGTCAGCAGAGCCCACACTGGGCGTTACGAGCCTGGGCAGGTGAAAGTCTGGTACTGGCCATGGCCCAGCAGGTGGCAGCATACCCTCAGAGATCCTGTGTTAGGTGGCTGCCTGCTGGACTTGGCCCTGGAGTGGAGGCAGGAGTTGAGTCAGGCACCTACCCAGCCGATCTCTCCTTGCAGACCAGGGCCTCAGGAGGCCCATGTTTAGCACATTGGTTTGACAGTATTTATTAGATCCATCTGAGAAGCTGGGAAAGCCAATCTGCTTAGCTGCTCCTGGAAATTGTAGGTCCAGGGGCTCTTCCTCCTAGGAGATTGGCGCAGCTGGTTGCATGGGCAGAACCGAGGTGAGGGACCAGAGGCCTAAGGAGGCCAGGGGCAGATTCTGAGGCTTTATTCTCTGGGCCTAAAACAGCAATGTAGGAAATACATGAAAGACAAACTCGGTAACTATGTTTATTTTCACTAATATAAGAAATAGTGGGGTTTTAAAAAAATCCCACCAGGATAACCCCTGTTGACAATTTAAGAAAAACAAAGTAATACAATAAGTCTTGTTTAATGTTTGAAAATTTGAACTACAGAAGGAATGAAATGAGAAATAAACCTTCCTTCTCCAGCACCTGTACTTTTTCTGGAGGAATCTGCTGATAGGTGTTTTATGATTGCTTTCAGGCCAAAAAAAAAAAGCTCAAATATCTGTAATTATGTATATTTCATTCATTTATTTGTCTTAAACTAAAAAGTGATCATATTATATACGCTGTTCTGAGCCTTACTTTTTTTCATGTATCATACTTTAGAGATCTTCCTATGTCAGCTTGTAGAGACAGAACTTTATCATATTTTTTTTAATGGTCTCCTTGTTGATAGGGGTTCAGGCAGTTTCCGATTGGGGGCTATTATAAACGGAGTTGCCATGAGCACCCTTGTATATTTATTTTGGCATACTTCTGGAAGTCCCAATTCTTAGGGGTGTGTCAAAGGAAAAGTACCTTTTTAAGTTTGATAGCTGAATTTTCCTCCAGAAAACTTTCTTCAGTGTACGCTCCCACCTTTTTCCAAGTATAGAAAACCCAGGACCTACTCTGGCTGCCCCTTCCAGGAGCCCTTCAACATCTGAGGGGGTGAGTCTGGCACCCGGCAGGAGCAGGCTCGGCTCCTTTGCTGATGGTCAGCGGCCGGCTGGCTCCACAGTCAGACTGCTCCATTGCAGATCCTGTGGTAGTTGTGAAGTGACTGTCTCAGTGTGGGAGCCAGCAGCCTCTCTTTTAGGAGGTGATGACAGGCGCCCCCTGGATTTCCCTTACCACTTCTGTAAGGCTTTTCTGTTCATCCCTGGGTGAGAGATGAGGGCAAGGCGTGAATGGCCACATCTCCTGTCTCTTCCAGGTGAAGAAGGCATATAGGCAGAAGGCCCTGTCCTGCCACCCAGATAAAAATCCAGATAACCCCAGAGCAGGTGAGACTCTTCTATGGGCACGGGCTTTGTGTTTTCCCTGATCTAAGCTCTTCAGTGAGTACTGTGTAGTGAAGCTGCACACAGCCTGCCTTTCAGGCAGCAGGGCCCAGGCTTTACCTTCCTTGCTGGCCTGTCATCTGCTGATGTTGGCTTTTCTGCCAGTCTGTGACTTCTTTGAAGTGCTGTTTTTCTTGTTGAAGTGCTGTTTTGAGGTAGCATACCATCACCAAGTCTAACTCTGCTTTTCTCCTCTTCTTTTTATCCTGTGTTTAGCTGAACTCTTTCACCAGCTTTCACAGGCCTTGGAGGTACTGACTGATGCTGCAGCCAGGGTAAGTGCCTCCTTTGTCTAATTGTCCCCCGTGGTTTTCCTTGGTTGACCAAAAAGTGGTTGACCGCTTGTTTCCGTCACCCTCGGTCCTCTGCACTCTGCTTGGCGCAGCCCTTGCTCTCAAGCCCTGGAGACCCAGTCACCAGGCTGCCTCCTGATGGCTCTACAGAGTGAGGCCCTTGGAAGGCTCCAGGGAGATGGCTGGCCTTTGTGCTTTTTCTCTGCCTGACCTGCTGCTCTGTGTTCCTTTCTCCTGCCAGGCTGCATATGACAAGGTCAGGAAAGCCAAGAAGCAGGCAGCAGAGAGGACGCAGAAACTTGATGAAAGAAGGAAGAAAGTGAAGCTTGGTAGGTGACATCATAGCTCTGGGTGGCCTGTGGCTTCATTGTCCCTTGGCTATTTTCATTCATCTTCCTTACCTTTCTTCCTGGAGCTTTAGTTCCAGCAACTCACAGCCTCTTGACCCAGGCTCTGGGCAGAGCCCTGTTCTTAGGGGTTAGGTCTAAGTATACCTTTAGAAATAATAACAATTACTAGATTTATCATTAGCTAAGGATGTTACAGAAACTTTACTGTTTCCTTTAATTATCAGAACTATCCAAGGTGGGCGTTCCTAAAGTCATTCCTTTATAGACAGAGAAGCTGAGGCCCCAACAGGATAAGAACTTGCTGGAGCTGGATTTAAGTCCACACAGTCTGACTGAAATCAGTGCCCTGCTCATCATGCCATGCTATCCCTTTTTATCTGACCAACCTCATTCCTGCCCAGAGCTTCCCCCAGAAGGATCCAAGGAGGTCTACATTCAGACATTGATTCTTTTTTTTAATAGCTATATTTTCCTTGGGTGGTACAAATGGTTAATGAACTTGGCTGCTAAGGAAGGGTTAGAAGTTCAAGTCTACCCAGAGGCACTTCCCAGAAAAAAGGCCTGGTAATCTACTTTAGAAAAATTAGCCATTGAAAATCCTATAGGAACACAGTTCTATTCTGGTACACAGGGCATTCCCATGGGTTCCCATGAGTTGGAGCAACTTTTTAAAAAAAATTTTATTGAGGTGTGTTTTACATAGCATAAAATGCACCTGTTTCAAGTATATAATTCAATAATTTTTAATAAATTTACCGAGTGGGGCAACTATGACTATAAATCAGTTTTAGAACATTTTCAATCACCCCAATAAGATTGATCAAGGCATGCTTTACTCAACCCCCCACCCCCACTTTTTCATATCCATATATTTAATATGTGCATATGCCATCTCAGTACTCCTCTTTCTCTACCAAAAATAAAGAAAAAGAAAAACAATTGTAGGTTCTAGGTAAGTAAAGAACACAGGAAGGAGAGCAGAGAACCCAGGCCTCAAAGAGGGTTGTCAGCTGGCCAGGTGTAGGGCAGCAAGTCGGTTCCCTTGGAAGGCCGCAGGGACCTGGGCTGATGGCCCTCACAGAGAGTCTTCCCATCTGAGCAGCAGCCACTGTAGGCAGGGCCACAGTGAAGCTTGGTGAATATACGGAGGTGGTAAAGGAGGTGGCAGGAACTTAGCTGAGTAGTCGGAAAGGAATCAAAGCCAAGACAAGGTCCCAGCTCAGGCTGTGATGCCAAACCATGGGAACAGAGGTCAGCAGCTCTACCCACTGGCATCCCCTGACCCATGGCCCTGGGCTGCTGGCAGAAGCACCTACCTGTGCACTGACTGGAAAGAACCAGCTTGGTGAGGGCGAACCACCAGCTGAACCCATAATTCTATGATGTGATTTCTCAATGGAAATTAAGTGGAGAGCATGTGGGCATGGAAGGAGGCAACAGAGTTACTATATAGTTTTATTCTGTTTGGGACTTTGGGGAGCACCCAGAGGTGGGGTAGCCTGAAACCATGTGGAAACTGCTTAGACCAGCAATTGGGTCATTCAACCCTTGTGCCTAGATCTCGAGGCCCGGGAGCGGGAGGCCCAGGCCCATGGCAGTGAGGAGGAGGAGGAGAACCGGAGTACCCGAACACTGCAGCAAGAGGTGAGCATCCAGGCCCAAAGGCCATCTCCTAGGGGAGGAAGACAGGCCTAAGGCCTGGGTGGTTATCACAGATGGGGAAGGCGTGTTCTTTCTTCTATGGGATCTGGGTAATGTGTCCCACCCCCAGGTTGCTGAGCCCTAGTTTGCAGGTGGAATGCAGGGACCTTTACAAGTTGAGAAAACTTGGAGTAGAATCTGCACAGAATTGTCACCCCTCCCAACCCCCACTCTGCAGATTGAACGCCTACGAGAAGAGGGTTCCCGGCAGCTGGAGGAACAGCAGAGGCTGATCCAGAAGCAGATGTGCCAGGAACAGGAACAGAGGTTGAGAGGTGAGAGTTGATCACACCTACCTGCCTCCCCCTCCCAGGCCGCTCTCGATTGCCCAGAGTTGCCACACTGGCTGCTTGGTCGAATCGCTGTGGAGGCTTCCACCTGCCGAAGCCCCTTAGGGCACGTGAGGGAGCAGAGCCTAGCTCCCCACTCTGACTGATACACACACCTGTCCCTTCTTTCTACCAGTTTTCTGGGGTCAATCTGCTTTTCTAGGCTGACGGTTCAAACCCACCAGCCACTCCTCAGAAGGAAGATGGGGTAATCTACTTCTGTAGCAATACTGCCTCGGAAACCCAAGGAGGGGTCACTATGAGTCGGGTCCGACTCGATGACACATGACAACGACAACAACATCTGCTTTTCTCTCTGCCTGAGACTCACTCCCTGGTCCCACTTATCTTAGTCCTGAGCTGTGGTGGCTTTATTTTGGAGCAGATCACCAGTGGAGAAGGCATGGCTACGTTTTGGGTTCTGGGATAGTTTGTTTCAGTAGAATTGTGTGGTTTATGTCTCTACCTCCTGCTGCCCCAGACCCTCCACCCAAAGGTGTTCCCAGCACTTCATCTGGAGAGTGCTCACCATGCGTGACCTGTGACAGGCAGTGGGCAGATCACCCCAGAGTGGCAGCTCTCTGGGATGTGGTGGGATCATATCTATGTCCCCACCAGGATCCTCACCAGGGCAGGGAACGTACTGCCCTTGGTCAGAGGTGACCTTTTCTAGGTCCTTCTAGGCTCTGGGCTTTGTCTCCTTTGGGAGAACCTCTGACTCCCTCATACTCTACCATACTTCTTTTCCCAATTTTTCTAGGAAAGGCAGAAAATACTGAAGGCAAAGGAACCCCCAAACTAAAGGTGAGTCCTGGTGGGATCCATGGGCCACCTCACCGCACCTCCTCTCAGCAAGAACAGATGTTTCTTGTGGCTCAGGGATTCTGGCTGGGGATGCTAGGTCTCTGGGGATCTAGGACCACTGCCCACATCCTTTAGTCAGCTGCCTGGAAGTCAGGATTGCTTCTCCAATCTCTTCCATGCAAGATTGCTCTTAACCATGATGGTTGCAGGACATAGTCCCCTGGGAGCTCTCTAAGGGCCGGATGCAGTGCTGAGGGTGAGCAGGACAGCCTGCCTCTCAGGGGTCAGGAGCCATCATTCCTGGTTAGTCCTCCCTAGACTACAGGTGCCTTCAAGATGAGGAAGATGTCAGACAGTAAAGCTCAGGTGTGGGGTCTGATACCACTCAGCCAAGGGTTAGTGTTTAATGTTGATGCCCACTGCTGTCTTTTCAGCTGAAATGGAAGTGCAGGAAGGAGAATGAGTCAAAAGGTGGCTATTCCAAAGACGTCCTCTTGCAGCTGTTTCAGAAGGTCTGCCTTGCTGTCTTCCCCATTTCTCCATCATCTCGGCCCAAACTCCAGGGTACTCCATGCCCAAACTTCCCTTAACATGTCTGCTTACCCCCCTTTTTTTTCTGTCTGTCTCATAGATCATTGGGCAGCCTGGAGACTTCTCCCCAGCCCGTAGTCCTCCTGTCACTGTGTTGCCCTGGGTCCCCCTCCAAGTGGTCTCTCCTTCAACCAAGTGCCTTGGTTGAGCCTTTGCCATCCTTTTGGAAGTAAAGGGCGTGGCTGAATGTATTGGGAGGGGGAAGTGGGATCTGACATGAAAGCCCAGTCCTCTTCACAGCTTCAGCCCACTGAGGCAGTGGCATGGCCCTGCCACTTAAAGTGCCCAGTCCTTTGCTTGTCTCTTTTTTGCTGTCCTTCTGCATCCCTGGAAAAAATTATTTCTTTCCCCTCTCTGATCTCCTTCCTCTGGAATCCTCATAACAAGAAGTTGTCCCTTAAAATTCGGCAATGATTTCTTCTTGGTGAGCGTTACACAACGTGATTAATGTACAGGCATATCTTGGAGATATTGCAGGTCCTGTTCCAGACCATCACAGTGAAATGAATATCATAATAAAGCAAGTCACACAGATGTTTTGGTTTCCCAGTGCATATAAAAGTTATGTTTACATTATATTGTAGTCCATTTAGTGTGTGATAGTATTATGAAAAAGTTTGAAATATGGTGCAAGTTACCAAAATGTGACACGCAGACATGAATGGAACACATACTCAATTGGGAAAATGGCGCTGATAGACTTGTCACACAGGGTTGCCACAAACCTTCAATTTGTGAAAAATGCAGTATCTGCGAAACACGGTAAAGCAAAGCGCCGTAAAATGTAATTGATATTGTACACATTGAAATTGTACACGTGGAACCTATCAAATTGGCGAATGTTTCCATATATTTTAACAACAATTAAAATATATAAATATATTGTGCCCCAGCTGACAGTGCCCCAGTGGGCCTCAGGACAGCCCAGGCTTTCTATGGCATGAGCCAGTCCACCCTAAAGGCTGAACCATGCTTACCGAGACCTTTCTTGTCCCCACAGTATGGTGAAGTTCTCAACCTGGTGCTTTCCAGGAAGAAGGCAGGCACTGCAGTGGTGGAGTTTGCAACTGTTAAGGCTGCGGTGAGTGCTGCACGAGGCTTTGTGGGAGGCCTTCGGCAGCCCTGTCACTCTAGAGGAAGCGACTGAATTCTGTGGACCCTTTGAGCTCGGGTGATCCATATACTCCCAGGCTGTTTCTGGACCAGGTCAGATCCAAGGCTTCACTTTACTCCCGAGAGTAGATGCATCACCTGAGTGGCTGGAAGGGAGATGCTCTGGGACCGAGGGAGGGTGCAGACTGACTCTGGTTCCTTGCTTACTGGCTGCTGCCTCCATACCCTCCACTTTCCCTGGAAGACAGCCCCGCTCCAAGTGTGGGCTTCAGCACTACTTTCTCACCCTTCATGGTTTTCTTCATTCCTGAAACTCAGAAGGCTTATGTCCAACACTCTCCCAAGAGAAGGGTCAGAGCTTCAGTGGACCATGTTTGAAGGTTGCTGAGGTTGCCCAACTCTGTTTGGAAAACTAGAATGCTAGTTCCAGTGGGGTAGAGAGAGCCACTTCATAGCTGATTGGGTTGATGGGAATCAGGAATGGATGCTCTGTTTGGCAGGAACTGGCTGTCCAGAATGAGGTGGGCCTGGTTGATAACCCTCTGAAGATTTCCTGGTTAGAAGGACAGCCACAGGGCTCAGTGGGCCCCAGCCATCCAGGACTGTCACAGGTAAAAAGCCAGGCCTCACCAAATGGGGCCTGTTCAGGGTTTGGAGGACCACTTACATTTGGGCTTTTCTCAGGACTCTTTCTACCAAATTCAGTTTGTCAGGGAGTATAGTGAGAGGGCTTAGCGAGAGGGCTGTGATTCTGTGTTGACCCCCTTGCCTCTCTGAGTGCCAGAGGGACCCTACACTATGTAGTATTCTTAAACTTTGCCTTCACTCTACACCTAGGTCTCCCATCACTCAAAAGGATCTCCTGGCCCCAGGTGGAGTGGTTGTGGTATGAAGCATTTGTCACTTAAAGGCCCCAGTGCTGCAGGAAAGCAGTAGGTGACTAGGGCAGCTACTTCCTCCCAATGCTTCGTTTTTCCAGATAATATTTGTCGTTGCCCCAGACAGGGACCAGTGCCAAGAGGCAGTATCTTCTCTTTAGAAGTATTACTGGCTACCCTGCTGACACTGAGGTGCTGCCTGCCTGGTGTCTGGGTGCTCAACTTGTGGTGAAGAATAGACCCACCAGCTGACATGTACCCAACACAAACACCTAATCCTCACAGCTCTGTGAAGGCTTTTGTTCAACCCCTCCCATGGCCCTGGATGCAGAGGTTGGGCTGCCTGGCTCCCCTGTCCCTACTTTGGTGGGCAGAAAGCATTGAGGGCAGGAGCTAGAAATCTGGCTTCCCTTCTCTGGAGTGGCTGGCAGTTTCTATGCCTGAGCCTCAGGCCGACGGGTTTGTAGCTCACTCTGTAGGGGAGAATGCCCTTCGAGGACTCAGCAGGAGCTCTGCTCTCACTGCCCTGAGGCACTTCACCCCTGCCTCCTAAGGCCTCTCCACCTGGTTGTGAGGATGGGGAGCTTCCTGTGAGCATGTCCCAGACCCTGACAGGGGAAGGAAATGAACTGGTCCTGAGCCCAACTCAAGACCTTTCTTTAGAGACCTCATTTCCCCACCTTTGAGTCCCAGCATTTCACAGCCCCAGATAACACTCTATAGGTTATGTTATAAAACTTTTATTCTTTATCTCCAGCATTCACAGAGGAGTATTTCATGTTGGAGAATCCACATAAGAGGCTGCAGGTGTGGGCTGTGGGAGCAGTGTGTGTGGAAGCTCCCCTCTCTGCCTCACTTGGAGAGGCCTGGGGGTCAGAACCACACAGCCCAGCAGAGAGCTTATAGGCTCTGGTTTCAAGTCTTCCAGTCAGGCCACAAAGCAGGGCAGTTGCACTACTGTGGCTGTGACTCAGTGGGCTTGGTCCTGGTTGGTGGGGCCTTTGTCAGAGGGTTTGGGCAAGGCAAAGCTCCTCAATCCTGGTGGAGGATTCTGAAGACCAGCCGTACCACTTCTCAGTAACAGCGATGAGTTTAGTATCCATCCCCTGAGCTAGTCCTCTCTTTTAGTCTTGTGGGCAGGAAGGCGGGAAACCTGCCACTGTTTTCGTTGCATTTCCCAAGGGCTCTCATCACTAATAATTCTGGGAATTCCCCAAAGCACCTCTGTGAGTTGGGTCTGATGATGCCTTTGACTGACATTCCCCAGAGCTGCTTCCCTTGGGCACCAGGGATTGCTCTGAGCAGCTGTGCTGGCAGGTTGAGTCTCTCACTCCCCTGTTGTGCTAATGGTTGGTTTGGGTTTTTCCTGACAAACACTCTGCATCTCTACCAGCTTTCCTCTTCCTGCTGTGCCAGGCCCTCTCTTCTCTCCCTTCCCCCACCAATGCCAATGATGGCTCCAGGCCGTGGTCTACTCCAGCATTGTTTTCTAGAACTTTCTCCAGTGATTTCAATGTTCACTTTGTGCTGTCCACTGTGGTAACCACTAGAAAAGTGGGGCTATTGAGCATTTGCAACATGGCTAATTTGATCTGCAGAACTAAATTTTTAAATTTAATTTCAATAGCGAGATGTAACTAGTGACTAACATGTTAGACGATGTAGGTCAAGCCTGCCTCATCCCTTTCCTCTTTGGCCTGTGTTGGACCACTTTTGCCCCCAACTTTTCCTGTGACCTCTGTGTTGACTGTAGCCTGTCTCTGCTCTGCCCAGGCTGTGTGTCCTCTGCTCCATGGCTGCCCCCTTTGCCATCCTTTCCCTCTGCTGGCTTTCTGCGTGGTTCTTGTGGTTGCAGGGTGTGGCCTCCTTTTCCTGGCCCCGCCAGCTTCCTTCAGTGTTCCTGCCAGGAAGTACCCCTTCACAATGCTGCCAGCTTGCCACTGTGCCACCACTCTGGGGTGACTTGGAGGACTGTTCAGGGTCCAGAGGGCAGGCAGAGCCTTGGGGTCCTATCCCCACCTTTTCCTCAGTCCATCACTGTACCTTCTAGGCTCCCAGGCTTCCAGTTCTCTCAGTCACCCACCTCTTCCCACCCTCACTCCATTCAGAAGCTGGGATCACTAGGAAACTGCTCCCTCAGTATCTGTAGAACTTCCTCAAGAAGTGAAATCCCCAGGTCCACTTTGAAGGAAAAGAAAGGGTCACTGAGGTCCGGGGCAGGTGTCTCCTGGAAGGAGGGAGTGTCCAAAAGGTCGTCCTCTGTATACTGGTGAAGGGCACCTGCCAGGGAGAGTGCTGAAGGCAGGGTAGTCGAGTAGGCAGCAGTGTAGGCGGGTGGGGGCTCTAGGATGTTGGGGCAGCTGGAACTCTCTCGGTAGAGGCGTGGGGGCTTGGGCGGGGCCAATAGGGTGGTCCGGGGCTGCTCATCCCCCCATAGTGGCAGGCGCCGGCCATCTGGCCTCCCTTGCAGCTCCCGGATGACCTCTCGGTTACTATACTCCTCGTGGTCCCCACCAGCCGTGCTGGCCTGGCTTAGCACACTGCCCTGTCGCCGGAGTACCCGCGGCCGCCCCAGAGTCAGCCGCTTGAAGAAAGAGGCATTGCGGAAGGAGCCTTTCCGCCAGGTCTCCATGAGCCAGCACACAAGCCTGGCCCTCAGAAGCCCAGCAGACGTTCAAAAGCAGCTAGTGACCATCTGGCTTGAGATGAAGCCTTGAATCGCAAGCTTCAGGGACATGGCCTTAGTGGGCCAGCAGCAGAGGCCCCTGGGTGTCTGCCCCGCACAGCCCTCCGGCCAGCATCTTGGAGGGTGGGATAAGGCCCAGAGCAGAGGGCACGTTTTTGTCCAGGAGAGCAGCGATCTGGGAATTCCTGATGAGGAGTTTCCCAGAGGAACAGGAGTGGCCCAGTTACTTGATAGGGCAGTGGAAAAAAAAAAACAAAAACAAAAAACCAAGAAACAGAAGAAGCACTTACTGAAGCTGGAGTCAGGGTGCGTTGTGGTGGGCTGGGCCAGGCAGCCAGTGTGCTCCGTCTACAAGTCCACAGGTCCACAGAGCTGGGCTGGGCGCTGTTCAGGCGGAGGGATCAGATGGACCCAGGCTCTCCCTGCCTGGCGGTTCCTTTAGCCCCTGTGTTGGTCTCTCAGGCCGTGTTGGCTGCACCCTCTCTGCTGGCAACTCCTGGACTCTGATTAGTGGCTTGGTTGTTTGTTCGAGTGTGTGGCGGTGGAGATGTGTTTTGTTTTCAGCTGACTCAGTCAGGTGGGAAGCTGGGTTTCATGCTTTTAGATAATTGCAGCATCCGCATACAGGGATTGGGGCGGCTGTGGCCAACACCCCCGGGCAGTGGGCGCTTCAGATTCCTCTTGAGGACTTGTCTAGGGGCAGCTCAGCTTTGTGTGTCACCACTGCTTCCTTTCTCATCACGGGTCCTGTCACTAGGCCGGCGAGAAGGCGGGCCTGGCTTCCCAGCCCGCGTCTGGGAGGGAGGAGCTCAGGGAGGGCGGGAGCTAATTGAAAGGCAGGAGCGTGGAACCATTGTTGGGGAAGGGAGAGAGGCCAGTCGCTTGTGTGGGTGACTCAGCCTCCAGAGCCTAATGGCAGGCCCTTATTAGCAGAGCCTGCAGGTATGGGGGAAGGAGGCAGAGGGTGTGTTAGCGGAAAGCAGCCCCATTCCTATAAAGGACTCAGCTCCTCCCACTACTGGGTTTGGGGCGTGCCAAGAGTAACTCCAGGTTCTCGGCAGAGCAGGTACCTTGGGCAGGGAGTATTGCTCTCCCTTTGACCTGCCACTCAGTCTGGCAGCTCGGTTTCTCATCCTCCCTGGCTTTCCCCTGATGCCTCATGGCAGGAACAGAGCAAGTTGAAGGCTAGTGTCCTGCTGCCTCCTACCACACGCACTCGAGTCCTTCCCCTCTAGTACCTGGGCCTCATCTGGGTTCCCTCTCTGGAAGAGGTCAGACCACCCCATGGGCTGATATGGGTTATCAGCAGTGCTGGGGGTTAAGCTTAGGTAGGTGAGCCTGGCTGGAAGGAAGACAGGAGAAGAGGTAGAGCAGGCAGGAAGAGGCAGGGGGAGTCCAGGCTGAGTAACACTTCCTGTTTCTGTACACCCCTTACTCCAAACCAGATGGCCAGGGCCTGGCATCTTAGTCCAGCCACTCCCTTCTTACTTCCCAGGTCACTAACCACCAAGCTTCCCTCCTGGTTTATTCCACCAGAGTGTGCCAGCTTGGTATACCATGGAACAGGGCCCAGTAGCCTTCTCCCTGACAGAAGGCCACAGCATCTTGTAACTTCTGGCCTGCTCTGTGCCAACTCAGGTGGGCTTCCCATAGATTTGAACCAGTTCAGTCATGGCTGATGAAGCAAAACCTGGAATGGGAGAATCGGAAGAGGCATAGCGAGCCCTTTCATGAGCCTGATGCAGGAGATTGGATTATTGTCAGGACTGCAGAGAGCAACACACAAAGTGGCATGGTGGCTACCGTGTTTGAGTTGGGCACCACTACTTCAGATTCCTACCTGTCAAGAGATTTGGTTGCTATGCAACATGCATGCTGCCCTTGTTTTCTAAAGGGGAGATTAAGTTTCTAGCAGGCTTAATTTTTCCCATTCCAGCATTCTGGTTCACCCACATTTTAAAAATTCAAGTCCATTCTGGTGTCGCTTCGTTGGCCATGACTAAACCAAGCTGAACCAGTTTGCAGCCCTGGCTTCACACCTCTAAGAAGCTGTGGGGACCACGTGATCATCACAGCGTCAGCTGTACTGGGGAAGGAAGTGATTGAATTCCCACTGCAGATCTTATCAGGGCATAGGGTTGGCAGCTCCCACTCTGCTGAAAAGCTGCTTCTCCACCCCATAGCCTGGACCCATTGAGAAGGTTGTTTATTATGCTTTTGATTGTTAAAACATAGCACTCTTTAATCCCCCACACCAAGCTGGCAAAATCATAGAAGAAAACGCCATGGGCCCTGCCCTCCAGGAGCCCTGATATATATTTTTAGGAGGCCAGCCAGACCCACACTTGTTTATCTCTCCTTCTAGGGAAGGGCTCTTTGAGGCTATGTCTGGGGTAGGGCTCCCTTATCCTGCATCCTCAGCAGGAGCCAGAGCCCAGGGAAGACAGGTAGTTGGGAGGGGATAGAGCTGGTCACCTCCACTGGGCAGAGCAGAGTGGCCCTCTGTGACTCTGACCACTTGCCTTCATCAGAAATCTGTGAGAGGCAGAGCAATAGGGTGGAGGAAAGGAGTGTCAAATGAAGGGCTGAAAGGAAATGGAAGGAGACCAGGGCCTGGCCGCAGCAGCACAGTGATTCATACAGAGACATGAGCCCGAGTTGACTGCACACGTGATGGGCCGGTGACAGGGGCAGGGTGTTTAACAGTTTCAAACGGGATGGATGGGAGCTGGATGGGGAGAAGCAAGCCTGGAGGCCAAAGGCCTGTTTGCTGTGAAGGAGTGGATGAGTTGATGTTCTAGGATGTCCCTTGGTCCTTTCCTGGGCACCCCCTGCCCTCCTCCCACTTGACCCTTAGGCTGCAGCTGTCTAGGATCCACCTTCTGAAGGCTGGAGTTTGTGGGGCTATGCCCTATGTACCTGATCCTGTGTCCCTATTCTACCCTCCAGGACTCAGTGGTGTCAGAGAGGGACTACGAAAGCCTCGTCATGATGCGCATGCGCCAGGCAGCTGAGCGGCAGCAGCTGATCGCCCAGATGCAGCAGGAGGACAAGGAGGGGCCGCCCACGTAGTCTCACACCCTAGCCTGCTCACCTTACAGCTCTTTTCTTAAATATTACCAATAAACTTTTTTTTTTCCTAAGAGTCTGTATAACATACACGGTTGTAGGGTGCTGCCTGCCCAAGCATGGCCCTGGTTTCTGGACTCTCTGCCTCAGAGGCCTCTACCCAGGCCTGCATCCCTGTCTCTGGCAGTGAATGACCTCAGAGAGTCAGTGCAGAGTAGAAGAGAGGAGCAACCACTCATCATGGCCCTTTATTGGCGTGGACTAGCTATGGAGGACCCACCCATCCAGGTTCTGGGGCTATCCCCTACTGAGGTACCTGGCACTGGGCCAGGGCAGCCTTGCTCTTACCAGGCACCTTATCCTGACCACAGAACATGGCCTACTGTAGGGCCCTCAGGACCATCAGGGCGAGGGTCCTGTCCTCCCTAACTGAGGCAGGATTGCAGAGAAGGCCATCAATGCCCATTGGTGCTGGACTGAGGAAAGTGACGGTTTGGGAAGAGAGGGGCAAGGCAGTCGGTGAGGCAAGGTTTGGGGGCCAGTAGCTGCTCCAAAGAAGGGCTGCCCTTGGCTTCTCAGTGCGAGATCACTCCTTGTGCAGGCACCACACCAGTGTCTGACCCACCCCTGTCATGCTCAACACGCGGAAGCCCTGCCGTTCCAGCTTGTCCAGGACTATGCGAGGAGGGTCGTCGACGTAGTACTCATAACTGTGAAGAGACCAGGAAGGGGTGGCATGAAGGGTACACAGAGTAAGGGTGCCCCCCCATCACCCGTGCAAAGCTCTTGAGTCTGCCTCAGGCGCAGTGAGGTCAGGAACACTCAGTTTTGTCATCTAGATGCTTCCTGCACCTGAGTGCACATTCCCCACTCCCTCCCTCCTAAGCAATTTATGTGTAAAACCTCATCCCCTCAACATCCTAGTGAGGACCTATTATTGTTCCCATTTTATAAGTGAGAAAACTTAAAGGGCTAAGTAATTTTCCCAGTGTCACGGATAGTAGGATCCGGGTTAGCTGGACAACAGTCATTCTTGCCCTGAGCCACACATTTCAGAGAGCAGCCTATTTCCCAGAGTTTGTACCTCTGGCCTCTCCTGCTGCCTTGTAGTCCTGGGACAATGAGGTTGGTCCCTAAGAATTCCTGGCTCTGTGTGCCACTGCTTGGCATCATGAATGCATAGTTCCCTGACTTTCAGGTTGAATTAATAATGCAGGGCCACTGAGCAGCCCAAGGGCTCAAAGCCCCAAGCTAGGCATCTCAAGACCAACCCCTCATGGCTTCAGCCTCCACCCTTGATCCAAGGCTGGGATCAGCTTGCCTTCTCTTCCCCCTTTGAACTAAAACCTCACTCTGGTGATTCCTCTCAGGAGTTCCAAGCCTGTGTAGCCAAGCTTCTCTCCACTAGGGAGTGGGGGTTGGAAGAGGAGGGAGTGAGGGAGTGGGAAAGGAAGTAGTGGTCACAGGGCAGACATGGAGATGGTGTGAAGAATGCCAAGGGAATGGCTGAGTTTCCAGGCAGCAGCTGAGCTGGAAGTAGGCACAGGTCATACTCGCCATTTCTAGGGTTTGGCTTCATTATTCATCCAGCTCTTTGAAACAAATCTTCTCTGCATACCGTTGCCTTGATAGGGTCTGGCTTGGAGATGTAAGGGCAGGGCAAGGAAATGTCTGCTTATGGAGTCCCATACCTAGGGAACTGGACTCTGTTGGTTTCTACCAAGGAAGCCTTGTGAAGGGAGGGCCAGTGAGAAAACTTTCAGAGTGAGCAGCTCCTTGGGAGACAGGATAGACCCTGCAGAGGACAAAACCCCAGGGTGCAGGTAGAAGGGCTCTGAGGCAGCAGCATTGTCCCTGGGCTTGGTGGTTGTATAAAGGGAACAGGGGCAGGCCTTGGGGCTGGCAGGGAGAAGACACTGATGAATGCCATGACTTACAAGTTGTTTCCCAGGACGCTTCTCTTTGAGGCCCCCAGGTGCCGCATCAGCTCCGGGTCCGAGTGCTCATCGCCCACCATGGTGGGGCCCACCTCCTGCAAGGGAAGCCACAGTGGCCTGATTGGCTGCCAGGTAGAGATGGAAGGTCTCATTTCTTCCTCCCCTGCCTGCTGGCTGCTAGCCAGCTTTTGTTAAAGGCTGGAAGAGGTGAGAGGATCCTACGGGGCTGAGCACAAGTTGAGAAGGAGTGAAGCCTGTCAATGATCTCATGACCAGGCTGAGCAGTGAGGGCCTCCCTGGCCTCGTCTAAGCTGAGCTGAGAGCTGAGCATTTCCTGACTATGGGCACCTTCTTGCCAGGCATCCTTCCCTCATGTTTGTGTGTGTCAGAATCACCTGGAGAACAAGAGAAATGCAAACAAATGTCCACATAAAAACTTGCACAGGAATGTTTAAGGCATTATTCAAAATAGCCAAAAAATAGAAACTCAAATTCTATCAACAGATGGATAAATAAAATATGCTATAGCTATGGAATATTATACAGCAATAAAAAAGATGAAATACTGATACATGCAACAATATGGCTGAACCTTGAAAAAATGCTAAATGAAAGAAGCCAGACACAAAAGACCATGTATTACATGATTTCATTTATGTAAATGTCCAGAATAGACAAATCGAGGCACATAAAGTATACAGGCGATGACTAAACTAGTGACTGGGGTTTGGGGAAAATGGGAGTGACTGATAATGGGTACAGAGTTTCTTTTTGGGTAATCAAGTTCTAAAATTGCTCATGGTAATGGTTGCACAACTCCGAATATACTAAAAACCACTGAATTGTACAGATTAAATAGGTGAATTTTATGCTACATAAATTATGTATTGATAAAGATGTTATTTTTATTTTTATTTTTTTTTTAAGGAAAAGAGCAAAGACTCGGCTGGGGAGCAGGATTCCAAGTATGGATTCCCAGGCCCCATGCCTAACATGTTTTTGGAGGTCTAGGAAACACATTTTAACCACTCCTCAGGTACTGGTTCTTAAACCGAGGGCACTGCCAAGATCTTTTCTGGCCAGAAGTGAGCCCACCTGCTATATCCTTCACCCCAAGGGAGGGAGCTATGTACCCTCTGATGGGTCACCCAAGCATTGGGGAATGGGAGACGGAGAGGAGCATCCTGCTGCCTGGCTAGAAAACCCAGTCACATCATTCAGAAGCAAAAGAGGACACCTGAGGTAGCGAAGGCCAGCACCTTCTTTTTACAGAGGAAGAAATGCACCCAGAGAAAAAGACAGGACTTCTGGACTGTGCTCTTCGCACCTCTTAGCCCCACCCCCCTGGCTTCTTCCTTTCTTCACAGGCAGGAAGTTCTTTCTTTTCCTTTTCCAAGGCCTCAGGGATAGCATTTCGTGGAAGCGCCTAAGGGTGCATCTAGTGGCTTTGTGTGGACCAGGGACTGGGCACAGATGTTTTAGCGCGTTAGCTCTTCCTTTTCCAAGGCTCTTTTCCTCTTTTTTCCTGCAGAGCGGCTCTGTGCCCGGGGCAAAGAGGGGGGCTGAATGTGTGGAGCCAGGGCTCCCCGGGTTGCTCCCAGAGGCTCGGTCCTACCGTGCTGGTAGCATTGGAGCGGGAAGCGCCAGGGGTCGCTCCGTCGCTGGGACGCGTGCACCTGGCCGCCTTTGCGGCAAGGAGGCTTCGGGCGCGCTAGAACTTCCTAGGTCTCAGGCGCTGAAGCAAGGCTTAATCCGCAGCCTTCTAGCAGCCCGACGAGGTGTGTCCTGGATCCAGCCACCGGTGGGCGCTGCCTGGTACAGAGGCGCTAAGGAGCGGCCGCTGCCACCCTCAGTCTCGGGCCCGGCTCGAACTCGCCCGACGTCCAGTACTTACCATGCGAATCTGGGTGCTGATGAGCAGGTAGGGCATGGTGCGTGCGTCACAGCCAGGTCCCACCCAGCGGCTTCTGAATCCGTTCCGACGCCAGCCCCTCGGGCTTTGGGACTGCGACCCGCGGCCAGAGTCCCGTTACTCCGGCTCGGGCCTCGGGCGGCACCAATCCGGGTGCGCCGGGCCGGTGACCGCCGCCTCCGGCCAATCAGAAGCGGGCGCCATGACGCGCCCCGGCACTGGACGATTTGGGCCCGCCTCTGCCCTGGGGGCAGCGGGCTTGGACCGTGGGTCTGGACCGCGGCTTCCGCCTGCTGGTGCGGTCAGGAGGGGCGTGGGTGCGAGTGCACCCCCGCACTTTCGGCCTGAAGGCGGAGGTGGCTGGACTAGCTCGACAGGCTGCGGCCCGCTGTTGCGCCAAGCGCACCTGTTGATCCTGTGCCCTCTTATTTCAACACCTCGAATAACAGGTTCCAAAGTCCTGCTGGTCCCACCCCCGTCCCTGCAAAGCAAAGCAGAGAGCAGACGGTGACTCCGCTGAAGCCGCCCCATGGTGACCAAACCCACATTGACCAGGGACACCTCTAAAGCTTTTAGTGGGTCCCCACTTCCCCTTCCCAAGACTTTTCTGCTCCTTCTCCATTGATTCCCAAGCGCGCGGAAGATAGGGGTGGAACGCTCGAGGCTTGTCCTGAATGCCACTGGGCATTTCCGCCTCCCTGACTATAATTCCTATTACAAGCAGCAGTTCTTTGTATTTCGGTGGCCCTACAGGAGCTCTGGTAGCGTAGTGCCTAAGCCACTTGACTGCTAACCAGAAGGGTGGCGGTTCAAACTCACCAGCCACTCCTCGGAAGGAAGATGGGGCAATCTACTTCCGTAGTGATACTGCCTTGGAAACCCAAGGAGGGGTCGCTATGAGTCGGGTCCGACTGGAGGGCACATAACAACAACAACAACAACAGTAAATCTGTGAAGGAACTGAGTGTTTGGCTGAGTGCCACGGCTGGGGTTGCTAAAATGGATAGAACCTGGTCCTCTCTTCTGAGCTTCCAGCGCTGCTGGAGAGACAGGGCCAGGCGCAGGACAATACCTGGGGCAAATGACACTATCTTACCAGTACCTACTACCAAGGAAAGGGCAGTGAATTCATAGCGATGCGTCCACGCCCTCATCCAGATGTATCAAAATCTGAAAACTCAACATTATTTATTTGTGTTGTTGTGATTAAACCAAAAAACCAAACTCACTGTCATCCAGTCGATTCCGACTCATAGCACAGCCATTGGGTTTCCCAGGCGGTAAATCTTCACAGAAGTAGATTGCCCAGTCTTGCTTTGGTGGAGTGGCTGGTGGGTTTGAACCACCAACCTTCTGGTTAGCAGTCAGATGCCATAGGCACTGTGCTACCAGAACTCCTTATTGTTGTGATTGTTGTTGTTGTTATGTGCCGTTGAGTCGGACCCGACTCATAGCGACCCCTCCTTGGGTTTCCGAGGCAGGATCACTAGGAAGTAGGATTGCCCAACCTTCCTTCTGAGGAGTTGCTGGTGGGTTTGAACCACCAGCCTTCTGGTTAGCAGTCAAGTGCTTTAGCCACTATGCTACCAGAGCTCCCTTGTTGTGAATTGTTGTGATTAGGTCTCTTAAAAAAAGAAGAAGAAGAAGAAACAAAACCTATCCTGTAACCTTCCCTTCCTCAACCATTGAAAAATCATCACTTCCTTCATGGGGTACAAGGGGTATTTATAGGTCTTATTCTGTGTCTCCAGCACTTTTGCCAAATGTGGAGAGAGCTACAAGGGATGTCTTGTTGTGTCCACTTGGTTAGGATTCATAGCGACCCTATGTACAACTGAAGGAAACACTGCCGGTCCTGTACCATCCTCAAAACCATTGCTATGTTTGAGCCCATTGTTGCAGCCACTGTGTCAATCCATCTCAATGAGGTTCTTCCTCTTTTTTGCTGACCTTCTACTCTACCAAACATGACATCCTTCTCCAGGGACTGGTCCGTCCCGATAACATGACCAAAGTAGGAGAGAGCAAGTTTCATCCTCTGTGCTTCTAAGGAGTATTCTCGCTGTACTTTGAAAGACATATTTTTTATATTCAATATTCTTTGCCAACATAATAATTCAGATACATCAGTTCTTCTTCAGTCTTCTTTATTCATTGTCTAGCTTTGACATGCAAGTGAGGCAACTGAAAATACCATGGCTTGGGTCAGGAACACCTTAGTCCTTAAAGTGACATCTTTGCTTTTTAATACTTTTAAAGAAGTCCTTTTCAGCAGCTTTGCCCAGTGCAATATCTTGTTTGATTTCCTGACTGCTGCTTCTATGGGCATTGATAGTGGAGCCCAGTAAAGTGAAATCCTTGACAATTTCAATATTTTCTCTATTTATCATGATGTTGCTTATTGGTCCAGTTGTGCGGATTTTTGCTTTCTTTATGTTGAGATGTAATCCATACTGAAGGCAGTACTCTTTGATCTTCATCAGTAAGTGCTTCAAGTCTTCACTTTCAACAAACAAGGTTGTGCCATCTGCATATCACAGGTTGTTAGTGAATCTTTCTCCAATCCTGATGCCACGTTCTTCTTCATATAGTCCAGTTTGTCAGATTATTTGCTCAGCACACAGATTGAATAAGTATGGTGAAAGGATACAACCCTGCTGTACACCTTTCCTGATTCAAACCATGCAGTATCCCCTTTAAATACAAAGGATATAGGAAGGGGTAATCTTAACCCAAGTTTATTACTGTCAGGTCCTTATCCCTACCTCCTATCCCTAGGACTAACTATTTAGCTGGAGAGATAAGACATATTCATGTTCAACAAAGGATTTGTCAAAACTAACGATAGATTAATGCCCAAACCAAAAAAGAAAAGAAAAAAAACCTCACTGCCAGTGAGTCCATTCCAATTCATAGGTGGTAAATCTTTATGTAAGTAGATTGCTCAGTCTTCATTCCGTGGAGTGGCTGTTGGGTTTGAACCGCCAGCCTTCTTGTTAGCAGTCAAATGCCTTAGGCACTATGCCACCAGAGCTTCTTAGATTAATGCTCAGAGTATATAAATAATTCCTACAAATCAGTGAGAAAAAGTTAAGCCAATAGATGATTGGTTATAGGCTTCACAAAAGAGGAAATTGAAATGGCCCATTGACAACAAGATGCTCAATATCATTTAACAATTGAGAAATGCAAACCGAAGTAAATTTTATACCACAATGAGATTAGCACACACGCATACAAAATGTCTGTGAATATCAAATGTTGGTGAAGATGTAGAGCAACGAGGGCACCTGTTACTGTTGGGGATGCAAATAAGTGTGATTGATGCAATAACTCTGGAAAATAATACCATCTGTTAGTGAAACTGAATAGGAACCCTAGTGGTGCAGTGGTTAAAGTGCTTGGCTGCTAACCAAAAGTTCGACAGTTTGAACCCACCAGCCACTCCTCGGGAGAAAGATGTGGTAGTCTGCTTCCATGAAGATTTATAGCCTTGGAAACACAATGGGGCAGTTCTACTCTGTCCTTTTGGGTTGCTATGAGCTGGAATTGATTCCATGGCAGTGGGTTTGGTTTAGTTTGGAGAGTGAAGCTGAAGATGTGCATACCCTATGATACAGCCAAAAACTCTCTTACATAAACCTCAGGAAAACTTTTGCTCACACATATCAGGACACTGAGCTAATTACAATACATAGCCAAATTGTCCCATAGGGTTTCCAAGGCTGTAATTAGTATTCAGTTACCCAATAAGCAAGGTAAACATATGTTTACTTGTACTTACTTACTAATCTATAGTGGATAATTTCACATTTTTTTTCACTACATCAAAGGCCTCTAGCTTCAGTGGGCTGGGAGCAAGAGGCAGAGCTGAAGCCCAAGGTCGAGGGGCTTTTCAGAATGATGAAAAGTACCATGGACTGCTAAAAGAACTAACAGATCTGTCCTGGAGGAAGTGCAGCCAGAATGCTCCTTGGAAGCAAGAATGGCCAGACTTCATCTCACCTATTTTGATCATGTTGACAGAGGGACCATTCCCTGGAGAAGGATGTTATGCTTGGTAGAGCGGAGGGTCGACGAAAGAGGGGGAGGCCTTCAATGAAATGGACTGACACGGTGGCTGCGATGATTGGCTCAAGTATAGCAGGGATTGTGGGGCTGGCGTGGGATCGGGCAGTGTTTCGTTCTGCTGTGCATGGGGTCGCTATGAGTCGGAAACGACTCGATGGCACTTAGCAACAACAAGCATCTTTCTGGTAGAGACTGCTTTCAGCCAAGATCCATCTGACATCAGTAATGATATCCCTCATTCTACATTCTTTTCTAAATCTCGTTTGAATTTCTGGCAATTTTATTTGCAAATGATAGTAATGATATTATTTGATAATTTCTGCATTCTGTTGGATCACCTTTCTTTGGAATGGGCACAAATATGGATCTCTTCCAGTTGGATGGCCAGAAAGGCATCTTAGCATAGATGAGTGAGCACTTCCAGTACTTCATCCATTCACTGAAACATCTCAATTGGTATTCTGTCAATTCCTGGAGCTTGGTCAATGCTGTTAGTGCAGCTTGTATGTCTTCCTTCAATACCATTAGTTCTTGATCATACCCTACCTCCTGAAATGGTTGATTGTTAACCAACTCTTTGATACAATGACTCTGTGTATTCCTTTCATCTTCTTTTGATGTTTAATATTTTGCTCATGGAATCATTCAATATTGCAACTCAAGCCTTGAATTTTTTCTTCAGTTTTTCAGCTTGAGAAATGCCAAGCAGGTTCTTCCCTTTTTGTTTTCTAGCTCCAGATCTTTGCACATTCATTATAATACTTTACCTTGTCTTCTCCAGCTGCCTTTTGAAATCTTCAGTTCAGCTCTTTTACATCATCAGTTATTCTATTCACTTTAGTACAGCCAGAATGCTCCTTATAAGTGAGGATGGCAAGATTTTGTCTTTCATACTTTGGTCACGTTATCAGGAGGGGCCAGTCCCTCAAGAAGGATATTATAAAGCAGAGGGTCAGTGAAAAAGAGGAAGCTCCTCAATAAGATGGACTGGCACCCTGGCTCCAACAATGCTCAAGCATAACTACAGTTGTGAGAGGGCACAGGT